TTCTTTTTAAGAAAAAAATATCATTTAAATCAAACATAGTTAAAATTTTAATAATTTATATGGTTACCGTTACCTAACATAATAGCATTTATACGTCTTGGCATGGATTCAATCAGAGAGCGAAGGGTGGAAAGCGGTTTTTTTTCCATTTGGCTTCAATGCACTTTCTGAGTTCCCTCAAGCAATCCAATTGACGATCACCGAAATAAACTTGTTGCGAAAGTATCCCCCATAGATTTTCCATTGGGTTTAAGTCGGAGCTTATGCCCGGCCAATCCATTAATGGTATATTTCTATCTGTATAGCAGCGTTATCTTGTTAGAAAATCCATGGTTCCTCGCAAAATTGTTCCGAAAAGTTTATTAAAACATTGTCTAATAGATCAATGTAATTCACCGCATTCTTGAATGTCTTGATTCCTGCGGTCTTCATATATCTCTCCAATATTTGTCGTTACCATATCAGGGCCATACAGATTAAAATTTTTTTCGTCACTAAAAACCTTTTTTCCATTTATCGTCGCACAACAAGTGCCTTGGAGCATATTGCATCCTAGCAGTTTTGTGACGTGGCATCAATTTAGGTTCAGCGGTTCGTTTAACATACTGGATGTTGATATTTTCTTTTAAAATTTGCTGGATCCGATGGGTGATTTTTCAAATAAATATTTTTTTTTTTAATTTGCGGCTTCAATTCTCAGTCAGGGTCGAACAAAATTTCATACCTGATTCCGATGAGGTTAATGATAAAGTGGCAGGGAATGATGAAATTGATAATATAATATACCCAAAAATTTAAAATAAAGGTGCAGAAACATTTCGAACAATGTATCCAGTGACCAAAGCCGAAAAAAGTAAACTTATTTTATTAACTGAACTTCAGGAAGAATCCATCAAATGTAGTCTTAGTATTTCTAACGTAACAAAAGACGATTAATCAATATTTTAAATAGGTATGGAAACTTATATAACCGATATAAAAATTGCGTTGCGCCTAAGTGTAGGCAACATTTTAGTATTAATTTATCGAATTTTTAGCATTGATATATTTGATTAGTTGATATTCCGAAAGTAAATACTCCGCTGACTTCCGGACAACTTTCATTGATTAATGACACATTTATAACAATTCCCTCTTTAATCCTAGTGAGTGATAGCATACTCTTTTATTATTGATATGCTGCTCATTAATTTGTTACACGAAAATTACCATAAAAAGGTCGAAAATCGAAGTTGAACTTCAAACGGTTGGCTTAGTCAACTAGTGGCGGTTAATGATGTCATCACTAAATATTATTCATACTCATGAGTAACGAAACAATATAATCATCAGTTACCAAACTATATAATTGTACACCTAATACGTACATACTTGTATGTACATAAGTATGTAGTATATAAATGCTTTGCTGCACAATGGTGAAATGGGGCATTTATAAAGTCAAAAGCCATTTGACGTCAGCAAGCAAATGTGTCCCTGTGCACAACACCACAGATTTCCAGGAATTTCGCGTAAACACACATACAGCTACACTGTGCTGCCCACGCGTAAACATGTCGCATTGCGAGTAGTCATCGCTGACAGGAGGGCAGACGGTCCGGCTAGTCATTGCTTAGGGCGGAAATGGGTTAATGTGCTGCTACCCACCACATACATACGTTAATGTGAATGTACATACATATGTACATATGTAATTACACAAAAGCGTCCCACGCACACATAATAAAATCCGCTGCATGATTTTATTTGTTGTTTTTTGTGAATTAAACTAAAAAGGCCTTCGGGAGGGCGTGAAATTGGTTTTTGATTTTCACTACAGCGAGGCATTTGGCTTTTAATTTACTAGTGCTTTGTCTTATCGTTGTGCAAGGTCGTATTGTAACTTCACACTCCAGAGTTGGTGTGTGGGCGTGTATGTCTTCTCCCCAGCGAAAAATATTTGAACCAAAAATTTTTTTACCACAAAATTACTTTCATTTGCATTTAGTTCGTTTAGTTTCGATTTCATTGATGATTTGCAAACAAATGTGTTTAACATAAGGGTGGTTCGTTTTTTTTTTTTGCTGTTCACGAAAGTTATAATCAAACAAATGGGATTCCGGAAATGTGTTGGTGGAAGAGAGAGTACGAAATTGTCACTTTGGCCTCTTTCAGTAATGCTTCATTATTGAAGATTTTTATCATCAGATTGATGGAGAAACACTTAAGGGGTTATATGAGTTTCACGGCTTCTAAACACAAAAAAAAAATTGTATTGTTCATTTTAATTCTATAACATCTCTAGAATATTGTCCTAAATTCTCAAGTTGATCCCAGTAATAGTTTTGGAGGTACAGCTTTGAAAAGTTGTGCGCTCGAGGTTAGGTATATCGTCACTTAAAACTTTAAACGCGTTTTTCTCGAAATTGTGTTTTCAAAGTCGGTTGTCAAGATTTCTCAAGAACGACTCAACCGATATTAATGAAATTTTACACAGGTCTTCATGATGTTTTTTACAAGGTCTTGGATTCAATTACACATCTCTTCTCTCAATTACAATAATTTAAAACAAAACAAAGTTCGAGAAGATTTTCACCACAATTTAGGTTTTTTTAAACGTTTGCCAAAAATAAAATTTTCACTTTTTTTGTTGTTTCTCCGTCCAATACCTAGTTAATGGTTTTAGTTCAAACAGGTATTTTTTTCTTTTTACTTTTGATGATCCTGTCAGAAGTTCTCCTGGCAACGCCGAAGCCCTTTTTTCCGAGGGAC